GGGGGGGGGGGGGGGGGGGGGGGGGCGGCTTGCATGTAGCAGATGCTGCCACCACCCTGCACTGCAGCTGTTCTATGTGTGGCCGTCGCCACCCCCCACCCTCTGCTCCATGTGCAGCCACCGCCGCCCTGCACTTCCCCTCTGTGTCTGGCTGAAAACCACCAGCCTCAGGTAACAGGCATTTTTAGATACCAGGTACCCCTATTCCCCACTCGTGCCGCACAACATGGATTTTACTGTACTTAGTTTATCCAGAATTGATGCATGTTACATTTTTTTAAACTGCTACAAGTTTTAGCACAGGTACCCTGTAACCACGTTTCTGAGCAACCCATTGGCACCTACTTACATGTAGTACAAACTATACATAATATTGGTCCAAAACCAAAGGCTCATGATTTTACCATGTAATTCTTGGGCTGGGTCCTACCAGAGTCAACAGCATTTCAAGCCATGGTGACCCAACAGCTCAGCACTGCTCAGTATGTTTGTATACTTAAGATAGCCCCCACAAAGGATCCATGTGCTAATTAGCCCCCACTCATGACTGGAACTGGTTTTGTCACAAGTCCTGGGATGCTCCAAAATGTATATTCAGATGAAGCACATGACAACCCGGTCCAGTTTCACTAACCATATGCACCAGGCTGAGAGAAGAGCTGATAGAGGGATTCTGGCTGAACTGTATGCAATGTCATGGTTTACCAGACGGCAAAAAGAGTTGGTGGTGGGGGGAACTGCGCTAAATGGGCACTGCCATATGTCTTATTCAGATGGGCTATAGTAATTTATTCTTGTGGTAGGTTCCCATCAACATGTTTGCCCAATATGGGGCATGTGTTTTATAATCATGCTCAGTGCTGGCTGCATTAAATCAACTTCATAGAGGGTTTTCATTGCTGAGCACATACGATGCCTTTGGCAGTAGTTTAATGACAGACAGTGTATTTAGTGAGATTTTGTTGCATGTGATTGAGGGGGCTCCTTTCCCAATGCCAACTGTGGGGAAAAAAACCTTGTCTCATATTTGAGTAAATATGGTAAAAGGCCAGATTTAAGTACTATTCTGCATTATCTAACTAGAATAACTGAGTTTTCCTTGAGTGATTTGCCCATTTTGAAAGGATTCCTCAATCTGCAGCACAAAGCATCATCCTCCTCATTATCCTATGGTTCCCCTCTTCTGAAACCACAGAACTTTACACCTGTGTGCTGTGTTTGAGGGAATTGCATAGTGCTGGTTTTCAGCTGGAAAGCAAACATTTGGCTAAATTTATGTCTATGTAGAACATTTCACCTCATCCAAGTGCCTTGCACAGTTCATTACCTCAACGTAAATCTGTCCATTCTCAGCAACAGAGAAGAGTCCTTGGCAGGGAGCCAGGAAGAGATCTGTTTTATAAAGCTCCATGTTGAAGGTCACATTGGTGATACGTGGTTCAGAAGGCCAGAATATGGGAGGATTTAGAGAGGCTTTGCCACCCTCTGCCTGATGCAGTGTGCAATTAAACTAAAATGAACAAAGCAATACAAATAAATCCCAGCAATTATACAATGGGAAGGGTAGTTATGCAAGGGAAAGTCTGCCTCCTCTCCTACCCTATACAGCTCTTCAATAAGGTCATACAAGATAGATGTGAGAGCAAAACTAGGGCCACAGTAAAATATTTCAAGATAACAGAATAATAGAAAATTATGGTTGGGAGGGACCTCAGGAGGTGATCTAGTCAAAACCCTTGCTCAAAGCAGGACCATTCCCAACTAGATCATCCCAGCCAAGGCTTTGTCTAGCCAAGTCTTAAAAACTTCCAAGAACTCCACAACCACTGTGGGTAACCTGTTACAGTGTTTTACTACCCCCCCAGTGAGAAAGTTTTTCCTAATATCTAACCTCAACTTCCATTGCTCCTTGTTCCGTCATCTACCACCAGTAAGAACAGTTCAGCTCCATTCTCTTTGGAACCACTTTTCAGGTAGTTGAAGGCTGCTATTAAATTCCCCTTCAGTCTTCTCTTCTCCAAACTAAATATGCAGTTACCTCAGCCTCTCCTCAGAAGTCACATGCCCCAGACCTCTAACCATTTTCACTGGCCTCTGCAGTGGAGGGCCCAAAACTGGTCACAGTACTCCAGATGTGGCCTCACCAGTGTCGAATAGAGGGGAACAATCACTTCACTTGACTTCCTGGCAATGCTCCTACTAATGCAGCCCAGTATGCAGTTAGCCTTTTTCATAACAAGAGCACATTCTTGGCTTATATTCAGTTTACTGTTGACTGTAACCCCAAGTCCTTTTCTGAAGAGCTGCTGCTTAGCCAGTCAGTCCCTAGCCTGTACTACTACATGGGATTGTTCCATCTTAAGTACGGGACTTTGAATTTATCCTTATTTTCATGAGATTCTTTTGGTCCACTCTTCCAATCTGTCTAGGTCTTTTTGAATCCTAGCCCTGCCCTCCAGCATATCTACTATACCCCCCAGCTTGGTTTCACCCAAACTGGCTCATTCAGCTTACTGTCCACTATAACACCCAAATCCTTTTCTGCAGAGTTGCTGTTTAGCCAGTTGGTCCCCAGCCTATTGGGAATATATTTATCTGTGAGTACAAAACAGAGTCATATACCACAACTATTTCAGGCCTGCTTGGAAACATCAGCATCCCCTCATCAGCATCCCCTGGAAATCCATTATCACCCGATTCCATGTCATCGTCATCGGACATCCAACCGCTGCCTTCAACTGGTGCTGACAGCTGAATAACAATCTGCTCAAAGGAAATGAGGAACGGTAACTAGAGGCAGTTCTACAAAGGTGAATTATAGCTCTTTTCTAAAGAAATAAACAAACAATTAACTTGAGAACAACTTGAAGGACAAAAAAAAAGGTACGCAGCTAAGGAGATGGGGAAAACATGTCACCCATACAGCCCTGCCCTAAGCATTTAATGGATGCAGAATATACAGGCAGAAGTTCAGTTTGTTTCCAGAAATAAAAACCAGCAGAGCCGTAAAACTGCTCTGTACGCTTGAAATGCTGCCTGGTACAGGTTCCTAAATGAGCATACCAGCAGACCTAGTCTGCTTCTGGTTTTTCTCTCTCTCATCCTGATAAAAGAAATGGCTCTCTAAACTTGACTAATATCGTTTCTAACATTCAGTGACTGACTCAAGGGAAAAACAAACAAAACTGGTGTCATCAGAATTTTCTCCTCTATAATCTCTGTCATTTGTATTTCACTTTAAGACACAGCTCAAAAAACCTGATATCCCTTTCCTCATTCCTCCTCTGCTTTTCTATGAACTCCTACCCAATCCCTCTTTTTGACTCTACTATCTTTTATATCTGCATGCAAGATCCTTTTCTCCTCTCCGCTTTTCTTCTCTAACCTTCTCCATTCTGCTTTTGCATTCTCCATTTGCTTCCCCACTGCCCTTCTGATTCTCCACTCACAATTTCATCTTTTTCTTGTCTGTAGCATAGCTGCTAACACAGAACATTTACTTCTCAGCCTTTTGGGCATCCCTGCATACTGCTCAACTGACCTTCAGGGAGAACACTTCCCATATCTTTAAGACACTATGCATAATCCCAGAGCTGCGCTCCAGATTTTAGTTCTTCTAAAGTTCTCTACAGAGGCTTGGCCCAAAAAAGAGATGGAGGGCAGCTACATAATACGGGGCTTTTTTTTTTTTTTAAAACACTCAGGCGGTGTTTCCATCAAGGGCTTTGGTATGAGCCCATCTCTAAATCAAGCCCCAGACAGTCTTGCCAGTATAGAATGGTTTTAACCAGGTGAGGTCAGATCAGGTTGCCTTAGCTGTGTTTAAGTTGGACTACAAACTTTCCTTTGTTTGCCAAGCTTACAGTAATGTTGCTGAAAAGTCCAAAAAGAAAGAAAAATGTTAATGCTTTTTGATCTGGCCTGGCCAAAATCTATTTGAGTTCATATGCTGTAAATGCTGTACCAAGTCTGCAAAAAGAATTCTAGAATCCTATCTATACAGTGTATATCCTCAAAAGCAGGGTATATAATCCCAAATGGAGTGCTGCAATAACATCACTATACTGCTTTCTGTACTTGAGCTTGTTCATGCAAACAAACTAGCTGTGTAGACAAACTGGGGTTTTATATATGATAGTGTACAGATCAGGGTATCTTATCTTCCCACTGCATGATAAATGTAAACCTTGTTTTCAAACTGGAATGCCCTTTGCTTAGAAGCGTAAAAAAAACTGGGCCTTCATCAAGGGCACTCAAGTTGGGAAACTGGGTTCTATACTTAGATTTGAGATTTGTGAAGAACAGATATGTCCCTCAGGCAAACAGAGGAACATGGAGTATTAGCTTTAAGACATTTTGGAATAAGGGTAATCCACCTGGGAAAAGTTTTAAATGAAATTGCCACAACAGCCTATAATATTGCCTTTCTTTCATCAGAGAAAAACATATACAAAAGTATATTTGAGGGCCTGATTGATAAAGCCTACCAGCTTTTCATTGTGGGAGACTTGGAGTCAAGTATTATGGTAATGAACATTGGTGAAATATATCCTTGCGGACATTTGTTCAGTCATGAGCTGACATCATACAATCTACCACCATCAGCAGTCTGCTCAGAAAAAATCCTGTACAAGCTGAACAGGCAAATGCAAGAGAAAAGCCTGCACAAATAATGCCATTTTCAGGAGCACTTTTATTTATTAAAAACAAACAAACAAGATAACTCAAAAGAATTTAAATAGTATGTTAATTTGTATTATCTTTTGCAATCATAAACCTGAGCTGCTGTACTAGCTTATGACTAAATAGAGCCAATAAGTGAGGGTGGGGCAGAGCAGTCTTAGGGAACTCAAGAAAGCACTGTCTCTCTCTCCAGCCAACATGATGCAAGAAGGGTGTAATGAATTTCAAAGTGGCGTGACCTGGCCTGCCTGTGGGCTGGTATGGAAGAAAGGAGCATAATGCCATCTCCTCCCATTTTCTTTGAGATGTTTTAGTCTGCAGAAGCACACTAAAGAAGTAGCCCTTATACTACCCTGAAGTCAGGGACTGCAACTGCGACTGTCTCTGGCATGGGACAAAGGAGAGGAGCCTCATAATACCCATGCTATGGCTGATTGCAATCTAGTCTATATAGTTGTATTTGTGTCATTACAAAATTTAGCAGAGAAAAAAACCCCCCACTCCTTGTATGATACTCACAGAGTTTAAATAAACAATGTTATCCAAGGGATAGACTATCTGCCGTGTCCCACAGCTATGCAGTGCTGATTCCAAAATGAAATGGGTACCATTCATCTTAGCTTTACAGGAAGGATCCAGAAGTGAAAGTTCTGTCTCCATGTAGCCATTTGCCTAAAGAAGGACATTATTATGTACGTGTCTAGAACCTCAGTGGAAAAGGAATTGTTTTACATCCATAACTGCAGGTTAGAGTCTCACTTTAAGTAGCTTAGTACATTTTTAATGATTATTGATAACAGAAGAAAAGTTTACTGCAGTAGTGCCCTTTAAAATTCAATGTCAAAACACTATTCCCCACAATGGCTTGGTTGGGTCAGCAGAGACAGTGTAGGAGCAGGGCAGTTAAAGTGTCATTACAGCTCCCAAATTACAAGTTCAAAGCTTACTCCAGATTCAGATTCATGCTAAAAGCTGCCTGCAATCACCCCAACTGTAACTGGGTACCTGGCTGTTTAGGCTGGGGAGAGGGGTTAAAAGCAGCCAGATGTGGCAGTTGCCACATGATTCCTTTGTTGCTGAAGAGGCTGGCATGCCTTAACCACGCAGTCTCCTTTGGTCATTAGCTTGAGGCAGATCTTTGATCTTGATCATCAGTGAAGAGAGCAAACATAACATTGAATGAATGCAGCAGATAGTGATATATTTCAATCTAGTCAGAATCTTATTAGGACCATCCTACATGGAAACTGTGCCATTTGACCAAATTCAGAACACCTTATTCTTAATGAGAACTGCATTCACAAGGCAGATTATTCCTGCCCAGGACATGAATGACCAGTGTGTAGTTGGCAAGTGGTAGGGAATGGCAGGGATGGAGCCAGAGGGAGCATGGCAGCGTCACTACAATCCCCTTTGGCTGTGCCATACATCAGCTCTCAGCACAGGTTCTGGCTGGAAGCCATCATTTCAGAGCCCAGTGGAGGCAGAGTGCTGTCGCCACCACTTGTCCCCTCCTTTTCCTTGCTGCTGAATTTAGTGTGGAGGGGGAAGAAGGAGAAGGGCAAACAGCAACAGCATTCACTCTTTGGGCTATGTAGCCATGTGAAAGCAGAAGCTCTGGCCAGAGTCTGTGCTGATCAGTGAGTAAGCTCAGAGCTCACTGCTCAGGTGAAGCTCCATCAGGGACCTGCACTGACCAAGCAGTGAGCTCACAGATCACTTCATATGTACAGCACAACCAAAGCTGGTGGGATACACCCTCCTGGCCCCATTCCTGGATCTGCTACTGAGGATTTTATATATCACAGTGGATTTCTATCATAGGCCTGACCTCTATTCTTATGCCTCTCCCACATGCATTTTTCCACTCTCCCAGTCACAGGGAGCTACTGAGCCATTTCTCTATAAGCTTTGGGATAGGGGAGGGTTTAGAAGGTGTCAAAGAACTTCACCTTGTGGTTTCCCATCTAAGTTATGGGGCTTTTGACCTGTGGCTCTGGGTATTAATCAGGTCAGGTTTGGCCTTCTCTAAAGTCTCTCTGAGTGTTCATTTTATAACTGAAGTATACGTGAAATAGTGCATCACAAATCTCAGATTATGAGATCATACTAACCTGCAGAGACTCCTTTTCTACAACTACAGTCATCATTTTGTCATCACATTTCACCGACAGGGCTACATTGATGCTTCCCTGTACCTCTTCAGGTTCTTTGGCTTTTTGAAACAGTTGCTCAAAGTCTCGTTTTAGTATTGCATCCATTGCATCCCTTGCTGGGGAGATGCCTTCTCCCACCTTGTCATATCTTCCTTTGTTAATGTGAAAGGGAAAACCAAGGCCATCGCTAAATAAAGGGTTGTTTGGAGCTGGCAGAGGTTTAGTATCTAGGAGTTCTGTTGGCTCTGGGGAAAGAAAATGGCCTTCTCCATCATTCATCTCTTCTATAAACAGACAGGAATAAATCAATTTATTAGATCCTTTTCCTCAAGGTATTCAGCATTTAAGTATTTCCCATTTAAGTATGCAGAATAATTAATACAAGCATTATCCAGAAATCAAAAATTTTCCAGGCATCAAAAGCAGCATCCACAGCCATACTTATTCTGCTCTAGTTTGGTGCTCCCAGATACTGAGGCATACTGTGATACTCCATACACACTACTTCGCATATTGCAGAGTTTATTAGTGAATGCCCAGTGCCACACTATGCCAGCTACACTACTTCCAGTTCAGAAGGAAGAGTGCACACACGTCTCAGTATAGCATTCTTTAGTGTGGTACTGGGAAGTATAAGCGTGGCCTTAGTATTTTTGAGATAACTAGCAATGATTTTTGCCTTGAAAGTGCAGTAGTTATAATGGGCTTAATTCTGGAAGTTGTCTATCTGGCATACTTTCTGCTGGAATTCTGTCTCAGTAAGGACAGAGAACATAATTTAAGGAGCAAATTAATTACAGTAAAAACTGTTATCCAGCACTTTACCATCCGGAATGCTCTATTAACTGGCATCTGTCCCACCATGGCACTTCTAGTTTCGCTGCCGTGAGCTGAGTCCCACTTATTCCTCATGGACCACGGCCCAGGGCAAAGCAGCCTGTGCAGGGCTCCCCTCCCCATCCCCCAGCACACTGATGCCAGGGAGTGAAAGCCCTTGCACACCGGATGCGGCAGGAGGGGCAGTGGCCTGAACAAGCAAAGACACCTCCAACCTGCCAGGCTGGAGACAAGTACAACTCTCAGATAACCAGCATATTTGATTAACAGGCACCCCCGTTCCCCATGGATTCTGGATAACAGAGCTTTTACTGTATATGCTAAAGCAATAGGAAGTTAAAAGGAAAAACTGCAACCAGTCAATACAATATTAGATATGTCAGCAAAACATCTGTCAAAACTCCGGAATAAAAATTCAACCCCTGAAGTGAAATTTTACCTGCAATCATACATTCAGTTAAATCTACTGGTGTTCAGACAGGTACTGGCACCCATCTTGTTTCACACAGGTGGACAAACTAGAGTAATGTTTAGCCCTTGGGCCTCCATTACTGTTCAGGAAAGAAGTTTCAACATCTGGCCACAGGAAAATAATAACCTGGAAGTTATATGAATACTGTGTATACATGAATACAGAAATAGGCTTTGTCATTATACAAAACAGTATTCTCAGTGGACCACACTCCAGTGTAAGTGGATATAACTCTGTTGGCTTCAGTGAAGTTGGATGCACTCACAGTAGCAGTAACTTTGGCCACTAAGTTTTTATTCCAAAATTAGAAGTTCTATTTATTGTTTTTGTTCAATTTTCTAATGAACTGTTTGTACGTGAACCATTTGTGTGTTGATTTAAGTGGTCTGTATTTTTTAAAGACAAAACAAGATTTGTTCACCAAGATGATGTTCAGTCATTGGAGGTCCCTAATTGTGGTTAATTGTAGTGGCTTCAGATTATATTAAAATGCAGTCCCTTAATTCTGCCAGTGTGTGAGGAAATAACATTTTCCTGGAATTTTCTCCTAGAAATATCATAAAAGTCTTTTTCTCTTGTCATATTTTGCTGAAGGGAGGATGTCAGCCCCACTGAAAATTTGAACCCGAGGGTAATCCTGTCCCATTAAAATGACATCTTTAACTCGTGAGGCTCTGTCAAAATGCCTTGTACCCAGAGTATGGTATAATTTGGTATACAATAGAAATTCATCTTTAGACTTACCAGTGTCTTCAAGTCGTAGATGGAATCTGTTAGCCACAGGGGCTTTTGTATAGGAGATAACTGGGCTATAGCCACGGTCATAAGCCCACTTAATCAAACTCTCATGAGATGAGGGAATATCAGGTATTACTAATTTACTCATAGCCATGGATCGTTCAGTATCTTTTCCAAAGCCAATGCTATTAGGTGCCTGCATATGAAGGAGAAATGAATGGTTTACAATCTGACAGTTGAGGCATTTGTCAGTCATAGAACACTGCCTTTAAAATGCACAAGTTCTACCTATTGTGTTTGATTTGTCAGTCTTTTACCCCATCCTAATAAAGGTATGCTCAGTCAAAGACACAAATACTCATCTTCAGTAGAGCCTTATAATTTCCAGAACCTTGGGCTGAACTTTGGTTCAACTCAACTGAGCTGAGATGAAGCACATCATTTCAGTGACACAAAAATGTTTACAATGGTACCATTAGGCCTTCCTCCTGCACATTATGGTAACACTGAACAGGAAAATCCTGAGGCAACCTCAGTTCCTATTCTGAAGTCCACGAGAGTTGGTAGCATTCAGTACCTCAGTGGAAGACTCCTCTGAAGTGCTGAGTGCCTCCTGCAAAGTACTAAGCAGCATCCTCACATGCCACTAACAACATTTTGAAGTCAGTGGAAAGTAAAGGCACTCAGCACTCTGCTGGAATGAATTAAGAAATGATATACATGTTAACATATGTAAATTCCAGGCACATTTTAATATTGTGGGTTTTATGAAATGAGTGTGCAATACAGATAAGGCAAAGTCAGTTATCTTTCCATTTACTGTAACTCATTATACTAAAATTTAAAATCTCTTATCCAAATCTGCAACTCAATACGATAAAACAATCATCCCTAGCTTTGAGAGGGTCAGTTATAAAAATAATTGCCAATATTACATTTTTCATTCATTTCAAGTATTTGTCATCTTGAGTTTAACCACGTAAGTATGCAAAGTTAAATTCTGTAACAACCACATTAACAACTACAGAGTAAGAGAAATGTAATAATAATTTCCAGTAAAGCTTACAATGCATCACTTTTCAACAACTGCTACATTGTGGCTGTATTTTATTTTCTACATGCTGATGATAACATCTTCATGCTACACACAAAACACTTTCGTTTCCATGCCCGATTATTTTCTCCATCATATATGTTGCATTTTTGCCCAAATCCCCATTTGTTTCCTATTTTGTTTGCCCTCTGTGACCAAATCTTAATCCTTTCCCACTGTAGAACTTTAAGTTTTATAGTGCTGATCTTTTTTTGCCAGTCAGCTGTAGGATTAGTTATATGAACTTCTGCTTCAGATCAAAGTTTAAAGAAATATATTTTCTCTTAACATCATAAATAGAGTTTTGGGATCCAGAGGTAGGTATATAGAAAAGATTTGAAGTATCTGTCTCATAAGCATTTAGAGTACAGTATGACATTCTCTATAAATTCAGAGAAGTTAATGGGAACTGTAGGTGTTCAAAAATTGCATAGTTTAAAGACTAAAGTTTAAAAAGCCTACTTTAAAGTGCAAATTATAATTAGAAACAAGATTTTCCATCAACACATGTCATAGCTAATGTGGGGAAATGCATCAAATAGGATGAGTAAAAACAAAAAATGGAAGCAAGGAGCGTCACAGTTTTAGCATCTCTTGTTATTGCTTTGGTTCAATTAATCTTTTACTCCTCAGCAGATGCATGGTTCATTACATGTTTCAAATAAACATAGTTCTGGTAATTGGAATTACCATGCTCCACCAAATTTGCCAGATATCTCTTTCTGCCCTCACTTTTTGTTAAGGCAAGACAGCTGAACAAATATTAGCATCTCTGCTAGCACCTGACCACTTTAACTATTTGTTTACACCTCTTCACTGCACACCTAGGCTCTTTAGGCCTAAGCACAGTAACCAGAGTTTGTTGGTTGGATAATACTTCATTTGTGCTATGCCAGCAGCCTGAGGTTTGTCAGCCATGGTATATATATTAAAGTTAGAAATTCATTTATATATTTGCCAGTTGCAAAGATGAAGCAGTAGTTTTCTATGACAGGTTTCAAACTGTTGCCCCCTTTTCTATTTGGCAGATACTCCAAAACCAGTACTCAACAAACAAGGCCTTTTAAACGGTCTGAAATGGAGAGAAACCAGGACTGAAACCATTTACTGTTCTGACCCAGAGACAGCCCAGTATCTCTCCTACCTTTTAATTTCTTTGGGATTTTTCTGCTCCAAACATTCCACTGATCCCCACCTGCACTTACCTCCCTTGAAATGAATGGGAGATGATACATTTTGGTGATACATCCCTCACCCACAGCAAATGGGAATACATGTCAAAATGCAGCATGTCTGGGCACTGTGGCTTGAATGACAGGCATTCCATTGTGCTCAAGCACATAGGGTGCTGACAGATGTGTAGCTCCCCGGCGTAACTCACAAAGCTTCACAGAAAGCACCATAACTTGCACTGACCTTCCTGACCCAACAGATGTTCACTGTTGGGTCAGAAGGGTGGGGGATTGAGCTCCAATATGGAGCTGATCCAGCTGAGGAGCTGCAGACATGCAGCTTCTCTCCTCTAGTCCTGCTGTCTCCCTCCCAGTTATGGGGCTATCTGTACAATGGGAGTAGGGACGAAGGCAGGGGAGGGAGCTTGGGCTGGGCTTTGCTGGGCTCCAATTCACCCAACCCTCCTCTAATGCAGGCTGGGCAAAGTTTTGAGTTCCCTTCTCACCCTTCACCTCACCTCCCATTGTGCAGACAGCACTGGGGGTGGGATAAGGCCCAGCCACCTGATCAGACACAAGTTAATGAAGGTGCTCTGCTCCTTCATTTAAAGTGCTCTGCTCTGCAGCCGTGCTCTTCTGTTAGGACATAGCTGTATGGCATTTTCAAGGGGGCGACTGCATGACAAATATAACTTCTTTCTCCATCCATAATGCTGTAAAGAGATGTCAGATTTAGTCCTGATGTGCACAGAACAGTGCCCACTTACATCAGGGCTGAGTCTGGTCAGGTTTCACTGTTAACTGTGTAATGCCTTTTTCCATACCAAGCGTATTGCTGGGTTCTAGACCAGTCCTTTATTAAAAATAAATAAATACATTGAATGAACACAGCAAGCTGCGCATGGACCAGCTCTTTTCCTGCTCTAGTTTCTAGGACTATAGGAACCAGGACCTTAAATTATCTTGCATCCCTGGTTTTCAGACAGCTTAGTATTCACCTTCCACTCTGAGTTTGCCAATCTCTTCCCCCGGGACAACTGTTACTTATGCTGAGGGCAAGACATTAGGAAAATTGAAAAGTATGGAACTGGTTCAGCTAATAAAAAAGAACATCATGAAACATTACCTAATTGTTTAGTAATGTTTTTATGCATTTTCTAAAATTGGGCTTGGAAAGGACTTCAACTGCATTGAGAAACAAACAGTTTGATTCTTAGATGAGCACTGTAATTTGCAGTCTTTTTGAATGACAAGGGGGCATACAATTTTTCACTGCTTTATTGTGAAAGATGAAGCACGTATTCAGAAAGGGAAATATCCATGTAAATGCAAGTGGAAGAAAGATTTGCTCAGAAATTCGATCCTGAATATAAGATTTTCACTTAACATTTGAAAATATAAAATTGTTTTCTCTTTTGTTATTCTGAAAGAAAAAATTTATATTGTACTTTCCACTACAGAAAGAATTAACTCAATCTCTCTTTGTTTATTATTTCATTGAATGATAATAAGTTTAATAGTCATGCACTGTGCTCTTAGATTTCATAGACATTAGGGCTGGAAGGGACCTTGGAAGATCATTGAGTCCAGCTCCCTCCCCCCAAGGGGTGGGAAGTCAACTGGGGTCATAGGATCCCAGCAAGATAAGCATCCAAATTTCTCTTGAAGGCATTCAATGTAGGTGCATGAACCACCTCTGGTGGCAGGCTATTTCAGACCCTGGGGGCTTGGACAGTGAAGAAATTCTTCCTTATGTCCAGCCTCCAATGGTCTTGCTGAAGTTTATAACTGTCCGACCTTGTCATCCCTTCGGGTGCTCTGGTAAACAATCATCCCCCCAGATCCTGGTGAGCACCCCTGATAAACTTATAGGTGGCCATCAGATCACCCCTGAGCCTGCATTTTTCCAGGCTGAAG